GCTTTCCCTTCCAGCAGCTCTTTCTCAATCTCCAAAATGACTGGCTCCTTCCTAAAGACAAAAAACCCTCTTCTTTCAACCTTACTTTTGAATCAGTCTATCCCTGGAGAAGACACTGCCTTTACAGCAAAATGACAACAGGTGCAATCATAGCTCAGGATATCACCACCAATAAATGTACACAGTAGTAGGTGATAGCAGATAGGTATTTAACAGCCCCTAGTTATCCTCACACAAATTAATTAATTATAAATGAAAAGTGACTTTATAGTGATCCAGATTATTGCCATGAGCCACTGGATATGATGCACTGAGGACAGTCTTCTTGTGATAGTCCTGCCAAAATGCTGTCATATAGAAACATGAGACACACCCAAATTGAGAAAAATTCTACAAAATAACTGTTAATTTTTTTAAAGTTTTTTTTTTTCTTCAGAGGTGGAGTCTCTGTCACCCAGGTTAGATAAGAGTGCAGTGGTGGGACCACAGTTCATTGCAGCTTCCAACTCCCAGGCTCAAGGGATCTTCCTGCCTCAGCCTCTGGAGTAGCTGGGACTACAGGCTCGAGGTACTGTGCCCGGCTCTCTTTCCCTCTTAAAAATGACAAGGTTAAGAAAACAGGCTGAGGATGCATTCCAGGTTACAAGAGACTAAAGAGCCATGAAAAAATTTAACAAGTGATCCTAAACCAAGAGAAAATAGAAAGGTGATAGTAGATGAAATTTAAATATGAACTGTGTATTAGACAACAGTATTACATCAATGTTAATTCCCTGATTTTGATATTGTCCCTGTTCCTAGGAAATATACACATTTTTAGGGATAAAAGAGCATGATGTCTCTTTCAGATGATTCAGAAAAAAAAAAAATTGAAGAGAGAGAGTCCTGCTACGTTGTCCATGCTGACCTCAAACTCCTAGGCTCCTGGGATCCTCCCACTTCAGCATCCTGAAGAGCTGGGACCACAGGCGCAGGCTACAGAGCCAGGTTCCAAAAAAGGCATATAAATGAAGTGAAAATATAATTGGCAAATGAGAAAATAATACAGATCTCTGCACTACACCTGCACCACCTTTCCCATGTGTGAAACTGCATCAAAATAGCTACCAAAAAATTCTATTTTTTGAGTGTTCTTTAATCCAATTTCTTTCAAGACATTTTCACTAAGAGGAATTGAGTCTCTGAAACAAGCATTGAATTTTAATGCTTTAGGGCTATTAGGAACTCAATGAGAATTTAAATTCTGCCTCTGCTTAGAAAGCCTTGTGTTATACTGTAATGACTCCTAGAAATAATCTCCAAAATAGGGGTAAATGTATGGCTGTATTAATTACAAACAGCTTCCTAATATAAGCTTTAATATTACTTTTCCTTTGTAAAATTCAAATGAGTTATGTGATGAAACTATCAGAGGAATGTGAATTTATCTAGATTTGCATAAAGCATCTCCAGAAGGACACATAAGAGACTAGTAGTCCTGGCTTCCTCTCCAAGGGGTCAAAAGTGGGTCTTACTGCAACACCTCCCTTTCTTATCTTCTGAAAAATCATGTTTCAAAGATCAGAACAGTGTAAAAACTTCACCACTTCATTAATTGTCGTACTGGGAGTCATCTGTGGGACTGCTCTAAGACAGCCAGGCATATCTAAACAAGCTATTTAAGATCTAGAAGACCAATTACACCAACTCATCATCCTTTTAGTAAATGGATGCATACATCTCATCTTAAGGATACAAACACACATCTTATTCAAAATGTGGTCATTGTTAGGTCCTGGAACAAATCTAACAGTCATCCCTGGCTGAAAAAGCTCAAAGATCAGCATGTAAATTGATAATTATTAATACTATACTAGATGCTATGTTGTAAGAGCTCTAAAAAATTTTTGTATAGTATTTTTGTATAATATTGAATGTTGAAAGTAATTTTTTAATTCATGTTGTTACATAAGCCAAAGGATTACTTAATGGACACTTTTTCTGAAAAGAAATTTATTAATTCAACAGTATACTAGTCAGTCATTTAAAGTAGGTCTCTGTATTAGCATATATTAAGTAAAAACAAGTTGTAGAACACTATTCATGCCATGAACAAATTATTGTTGACTGAAACTGGGTGCAGCCACAGAAATTAAAGTTGGAAAACCCTGCTCTCTGAAAACAAGGTAAATAAAAGTATGATGGTTTCTAAATGTGAATTACCAAAGTTTAGAGTGTGGCAGGTCCAAATTAAGAAAATTAGGTTAAGAATTTCGGAAAAAATGACTAAAGCTTCCCAGTTTATCTGAGAAACAGTAATTACATTGGAAAATGTCCAAACTATTACAAGATATAAATGAGTAAATTCTACATGAAAACAAAGCAAGTTAATAAAAAGACTTAGTATATTTAATCCTTCACAACAGCAGCCAGTATTCTAAGAACTCTTCATATAACAGCTTTTAATCTTTACACTGCTTGCATGAGGTTTTTTTTTTTTTTTTGAGACAGAATCTCACTGTTGCCCTGGCTAGAGTGAGTGCCGTGGCGTCAGCCTAGCTCACAGCAACCTCAAACTCCTGGGCTCAAGCGATCCTCCTGCCTCAGCCTCCCGAGCAGCTGGGACTACAGGCATGTGCCACCATGCCCGGCTAATTTTTTCTATATATATATATTTTTAGCTGTCCAGATAATTTCTATTTTTAGTAGAGACGGGGTCTCGCTTTTGCTGGTCTCGAACTCCTGACCTTGAGCGATCCACCCGCCTCGGCCTCCCAGAGTGCTAGGATTACAGGCGTGAGCCACTGCGCCCCGCCGTGCATGAGTTTTTATGTTTCACCAATAACCCTGAAGCACAAGGGCTAATGACTCATTCAAGATAAACCATCTACTATGTTAATCCCAAACTAGTTTCTGAAGAACTGAAAACAAGATCCCTTTCTCACACTGGAGACACGAATGGCCTGCAAACTGCAACTCCAATTCAAAAAACCATTTGCCAAAAATTTAGTCCTAAGTAGGAATACACAGTAAACTCAAAACAAGCCTTTCCCTCAGAAAGTATTTTATTGATAAAGCATAAAATAGGTTAACAAATTGGGAGAAAAAAGATAGCAAGATGAAAGGTGGCAAACACAACAATGGGAAAGTAAAAATCAAAGTAGGCAGGACTTATACTGGCCATAAAGGCACTACGGCATGTCAATAAACACTATCAAGTAAAAGAAAACAGAATCAAGATGTTCCTCAATTGTCTTTTGCTCTGTATCAGCTTAATACTTCATCTAGTCACTGATGAGTGTGTGGCATGTTGTCAACTCAGATTCTACTCACAAGTTACAAGGAACCAAACATTTTGTCAACTCTATGTTCTCAAGTGGGCCAATGTTATACAGTAGTTTAGTGCCTCCAATGGCTTGGATCTACAGGCATGGAGTAAGACTAGACTTTTTAACAAATCGGTCTTTGCTATTACTAGAAAATGTTTACGGGTGCAGGCATTTACCTATACAATTACCCACTTAACTGGGGCAGCTAACAATGTAGTCAAACCTGCCCATTACCACGTGATGTCACATTAACAGAAGTGAGCCCAGCTGAAGGATGTTGCATACTTTCAGAAAGCCAAACTTCACATTTTAATAAGCTCCCCCCTTCCTTAAAAGGCTGTGGTTCAAAAAGCTTTTATGTTCTTTCCCTGAAAACAAGAGAACTTTGGTCAAAACCAATTTTTAAAAGTCATTACTTCTTTCAATAGGCAAAATAATGAACTATAATTACAGACATAATTTTCCTCCCTTAACTTCTAAAGTTTATATTGGAAAAATAAACCCATTTTTTATAAACATCTAAAACAAAAAGGTATCAAAGAAAAAGATAATGGAAACATCAACCTTTTGGGGCATTATATTTCTAAGGTTAAGCTTTAAGATTTTTAACAGGAAGCCTAGTAATTTCTTAAAAACAAGGCTTTTTTCACATTAGCAAGTACTCTCACCTACTGTGATTGACACCCAGATATTTGACTCAATCTTTTTTTCCACTCAGCCTTTTACTAGGTATGTTTCTGGATTAACTGAACATACAAACCAACCCTACAATATCAAGCTTTCTAGTCACACCTGTGGCACAATGAATAGTGTACCACCATGCCCTACTACAATCCAACCCTTGGCACCTTAACCAGGGACGGCTCCTAACATTAAAGCTGAGCCAATTAATCTACATCTTGGTTTCCGATCAAGGTTAATAAGTGCTTTTAAATGGAATAAAGGGTTATAAGGTTAATTCACTTCTTGAACTGCAATTTCAAATAATTAGGCTCATGAATGAACGGACTAACTACTAACCTAGTAACACCTACAAATTTGCAGTATTCTAATTTGGTTTTCACAGTATTCATTACACTCCATCCATAATAAAGTACAGAAAGTTTTTAGTTTACCCATCTGTTTTTCAAAACAAACTACACAAAGTATAAAATTTACAAAGATGATCTAACCAATTACCACAGGACCCCACTAACTACAAAGGGGGGGAATGACTGCTGGCTGTAACTTTGTTTTTTTAGACAGAGTCTTGCTCTGTTGCCCGGATAGAGTGCACTGGCATCATCATAGCCCACTGCAAACTCAAACTCCTGAGCTCAAGGGATACTCCCACCTGGGCCTCCCAGAATGCTAGGACTACAGGCGTGAGCCACCGCCTGGCCTAATTTTAATCGGCAACTGACTTCACTAAGGATCTGTTGCATAAATACAACGATCTTTCAGCAGAAAAAGCAGTATGTGCTTTTCTATTTTGAATACACTAAATTTCTGATCAAAGAAAGACTACTTCTATTTTCACGTAACATAAAGATCATTGAACCATATTTCAACAACACTAATTACACTGACTTCCAGAAATTGGATTATCTAAACAAGATCCCAAGCATTAGGGAGCTATTTCTTGAATAGTTGAAATTAACGTTTGAAAAGTTTCATTATTTAAACATTAATCTAGGCAAAACTGTTAACAGATTGACTACAAAATATTTTATTTTTAACCCAGCTTGTTAAAGGGGCAGATAAAGACTTTGGCAAATTTGAGTAACAGCACAAAATAATGTTATCCAAACTTAATAATTTATTGCTGGTCTGAGGCTTGCCTTGTTTTACACTTAAGTAGAATTTACACTGTTTCCACAAATAGCAGATATCAACATTTAAAGGAATTTAATAGTGACCTATTCAAATAAGGCAATCATCTTGGTAGCAAACTTTTATTTAAATCTTACATAACTCAAGCTTTATAAAAAGCCAACATAATTGAAAATTGGGTTCTCCCTCTAAAGCCTTAAGTATTCAAAGCTTGAAACGGTTAATTTAAAAATAAGCAAACGAATAAAACAACAAAAAAAACCCCTGCAGCAGATCCTGCTGAAATACTTAAAAAAAAAAAAAATCTAAATGAGCTTAATCTTTACAAAAGTTATTTTAGCTCAAAAGCTATAAAATCAAAGTTATCTTAATTCTACAAAGAAGGGAGAGGGTCTCTGACTTCATGCCACCATTCCTTAGAACCTTATCTTTTTCATCAAATTTGGCCACAAATCAAATTTCTCTGTGCCCCTGTTTTCAAGAGATTCTTCTTGCAGAAGAGGCCAAGTATAAACATGGAAGAGTAACTGCCTAAGCAAGTAGGAAAGTGTTCTGTAATAGTGTGCAAAGAATGTAGAGTTCTGGGTTAATCTCTGGAACTCGATCTGGACCTTGATCTTGACTTTGAGCGAGATCTAGAACGGGATCTTGAAGTAGCTCTTTTTGGTGGAGGGGACACAGAACGAGCCTTTGAGGGTGGAACAGGAAGGGGTGAATTGGAATGAGACTGGCTCCTTGATCTGGATTTTGACTTTATATCACCTTTTCCATTTTCTTTGGGGGATCGAGACCGTGACCGAGACCTGCTTCGAGATTTCTCATACTCCTTAGATCTGCTTCGGGAACGAGACCGGGAGCCCCGATCAGACTTGGGCTTAGACTTGCTCTTTGACCTAGATTTCCTCCCTTTTGATCGAGAACGTGATCGACCTTTGCTCCGCGACCTGGATCTGGACAAAAAAAGCCAGATATTTTTCAATCTTTTCAGAACATACACGTACTCCATAAACTACAGTAATATTCACAAAAATCCAACACCATATTGTTTACCGGGAGCGACTTTTCGAGATACTCCGAGATCTACTGCGGCTGCTCCTGCGACTCCTACTTCGTGACCTTCTTCTAGATCGAGACCTATAAGAAAGACAATGAAATCTTAATTTCAGTACATTTCAATATGAATGTTTGTGCCATTTAGCAAAAATAATAAACAAACCAAAAAAGAATGTATTTGCTTACTACAAAATTAAATCCACTATCAACATCTGGAAAAGAATCCAACGATGTACAGCCTTACAAACTAAAAGCTGGCTTAGGTTCAGTTAAGCAACAATTGAAATTACTCAATTATATGCTTTTTCTTTGTTGGTAAATATTGTTTCCTCCCTTTCCCATGTCCTTCAACATGTTACCTAGATCTGCTTCCAGAATAAGACCGTCTATGGCTTGTGCGTGGCTTATCTTCAATAAGCCTAATGTTTCTGCCATTTATTTCGGTACCATCCAGTCTGTCCAAAGCACGCTTCATGTCAGAGTAGGAGCGAAACTCAATTACGCCCTCATTTGTGCGTTCTTTATGAGCATCCGCATAGGTTACTTCACCTGCTTGTCGCATAAAATCCTAAAACAGCAAACAAGACTGGTCAGACCCAGAAATCTAATGATAAAAATTTACACACTGTACTTGATTCTCAAATAAAAGTGTAAAAAGAGCCCACCTTTAATGCACTAGTAATATAATTTTGATCTCAAATTATAATACATACCTTTAAATCTTGCCAACTGCAACGACTAGAAAGGTTTTCTACAATAAGCCTGTACTCTGTACGAACAGGTGGTCCATATTTGTCTCTGCCAGAAGTTCTCCGACTGCTGTATCCACCTCCACCACCTTTATCACATGAAGGGAACGATTAGATGCTTTGTAATGATAAAAATGCATAATGTTTTTGAAAGTTAGTACAAACATATCAACTTTTATTTACTGGAGTAGGACTTTGCTATTATATTGCTAAACCTTTGATACATTTGTGATTTGCCATAAATTAAATTAAGGGCAAGTCAAATAAGACTAAATCCAACTAAACCTCTCCTACAATCTGTTAGAGAGTGACTGCTCCTTTATTCAATTTACCTCGCTAAGTTTTATTTTACAGAACATTGTAAAATATAAAACTTAACTGATTACATGCATTTCTACATTTTACAAAAATGTTTACTAGTTACACTAAGTACTTACATCACAGTGTGAGGTTTTTGGTGGTGGTTTGGCCACAAAACACGCAAGGTAACAGTCACCTAGTTCAGATTAACCAGTTTTGTCTAACCCTTGGAATCCTCACCATCACCCTGCGTCTAATGGCAAAAGGCTGCTGTCGTCATGGCTTCCGGTAAGGTCAGCCAAAGGGTCATAGGGCAAGGGTCACACAATGTATGGAAAAGCCAAGGCCAATCAGGAAAGGCAGTCATCTTAGCCTCAGTGGACACAGCCTCAGCCCCATTGGTCACTTTCAAATTGAAACATCAAGGACTTGTTAAAAAGTTTGAATTCAACATGCAACAATTTCAACATCAAACATTTAACATAACCAAAAATCCCCCCACCTCCTCCCAATAACATGCCCCAACTAGTTTAAATACAGCTTAAAGCTTTACATTTACTTTGTGGTACAATACCACATTACTTTAAAATAGTATTTTCTTTGGCCCCCCCATCAATTTTAGTAACTCTAAGACCTACTCCCTAGGCTCCTCCCCTTCCCCCGCACCCCACCCCGCCCCGCCTCCACCCCAGCCTGTCCCTAAACTTCCACATTTCTAGCCAATGCACTGACAGGTAAGTAAGGGGGATACAACAAATACAGCCAACCCTTACTTCCTTCGTGGGCAGAACCCATGGCAGTGCTGACAAGGGACCAGCAGAAGCCACCCCGCTCCCACTTGGCCAAAAGACAAAAACAAAACCAAACACCCAGACCCAATCCCCGCGCTCCGGCGTCCCATGGCTGCCCCGGGCAGACGTGAAGGTAGCAGGGCTCGGGGACACCCGAGTCAAACGACCCCTGGCCCCCACGCCTGTCCGGGCCGGGAGGCCCCACCCCGCCCGCCCCCCAGGGTCCCCAAGGGCGCGGAGCTCGCGGGGGTGGGACTCACTGCGGCTTCCGTAGCTGTAGCCGTCGCGATCGCGGCGCGGGCCCCGGGCGTGCTCCACGATCACGCGCTCGCCGCAGAGCTCCTTGCCGTTCAGTTCGTAAACGGCGTCGTCGGCGTCGCGGGAGTCCTCGAACTCCACGAAGCCGTACCTGGGGGCGGCGGGGAGCCGACGCCGGCGGGGGCGTCGTTAGCCGGGGCGCGCACGTGCGCGCCCCCGAGCCCCACCGCGCACTCCCGCGGCTCCGCGCTGCCGCCATCTTGGAGGCCCTGCCACGCGGCGCCGCGGCCTTGGCCCCTTTTCCTTGGGGTGTCCCCGCCGCCGCCAGGCCCGGGACGCTGGCTGCGGACGTGGGCGCCCAAGCCCGACTCACCCATTTTTGAGGTCTACTTCGAGGAGGCGGCCATAGCCACTGAAAAAGCGCTGGATGTCCTTCTCCCGGACGTTGTAGCTCAGGCGTCCTATGTAGACGCGCGGCATGTCCGTGGCTGGCAGAGGACCCAAGGGCTGGCTACCGAGCACTAGACCGCAAGACGGGAGCCGCGGTGCGGGTGCGGGGACGGCGAGAGTCCGAACACGCGCCTCACACCACAGCAGCGGCCGAGTCCAGCCACACAATGGTGCGCGCGCGAGCCAGAAATATGCTATATGGGCGGCCAGAGGGGCGGGGCCTAGCGTGTGACGTCAGTGCGCAGCACGTACCCTCCCGCGTCGGGGCCCTGGGTTAGGGGGAGACTTGCGAGTACGCAATCTGCGAGGATTTAGGGAAGTACTATCATGCTCGCTTCCGGAATTTTCTCCAATCTTCTTAGCCCATCTTTGTAAACATAACATCCCATAATCCAGCTGCGGACTTGCCTTCCGATTTGTACCTTTAAAAAAAAACCATTCCTCTGTATAATATTTTCGGGAGAATCCTAGGTTTCATTGGTTTTCGAGGTTGTCATAATAGGTCACCGCGGTCTTTCATTGGTCGCTTAAAACGAGGCTGCGACTTTCCTCCACCGATTGGCTCTCACGCTCGGTTTGGTGCGGCCCGCGCTCTCGGACGCAGTTGATTAGCCCGTGTCACAGAATCCGAAGATTATGCTCCGAGGTTGTGCTGACCCAGCTAGGGTCGCGTTATGAGCGCACAGCCCTGCCGGCTTCAGGCCCTCGGGGTCTCCCTCACAACCTTCGTGGGGCTTCACCGCCTCCCTGCACGTTCCCCGCTCCCTCCGTGGATCTTTCTTGAAGTACTGGCAGCTTGAGTCACCTGTAGAAGAGGACTTACTTGAGAATCCTACGCTCACTGTAGGTGCTCAAAAGGGAGCACGGCTAAGGCCCCTGGCACCAAAGGCAGTGCCCAAGAAGGTTGAGCAAGACCTAGCAGTCCTCCCACAGCAATGACCTTTATTTCTCCACTATGTGACGAGTCTATTGTCCCAATACTATCCTTTCCTCCATTGGCTTGGAAGGCACCTTATTTATGTGGCAGATATACATTTGTGAGTTTATCAATAGAGATGCCATTTAAAAAGCTGGAGAGCTAGATGAAAACCCCAAAGGAGTTAAGTTTAAGTGGAGAGCAGAGGTCCCAGGACCACGCCCTGGGCTACTCTGAAATTTGTTTTAAGTGCAGGAAAAGAGACTTCGAAGGAGTGACTCGAGGTGGCAGAAGACCAGAAGAGTGTGGTGTCACAGAAGCTAAGAGAGGAAAGGTGTCTCACTGAGATAACACCGGCTCTTTAGTTGTTTCTGTATTCTGCTCTTTTTGCATGCTGTAATCTCAATATCCTTCAACTTCTAGTTGAGAAGGGGCGATTTTGCTTTCCTGGGGATGTTTGGCAGTCTGGAGGCATTGTCGGTTTTCACGACTTGGGGAGAGAGAAATATTAATACTGGCATCAAAGGAGCTCAAAACCATCCTGGGCAATAGTGAGACCTCGTCTCTACAAAATAATAATAATAATTAGCTAGGCATGGTGGTGCACTTGTAGTACCAGCTACTTGGGAGGCTGAGGCAGGAGGATCGCTTGAGCCCAGGAGTTTGAGGTTGCAGTGAGCTATGATAATGCCAGTGCACTCCAGGCTGGGTGACAGAGCAAGACCCTGTCAACAAACAACACAAAACAAAATACACACAACACCCACCACATACCAAAACTGGCATCTAGTGGGTAAAGGCCATGGTTAAAGTTAGATAAGTAAAATATATAGGTAGACTTAAAATTTTTTTAGAAATTCATAGAAAATTAGGGAAATGAGAACTCACCAATGCGATAACATTTTTACTATGAAATTGTCAATATTTTAAAATTTGTTAAAATTCATTATTTGCAAGAGTTTAACCAGAAGATGGCACTCGTATAGTGTTGGTGGGACTCAACATTCCTTTTGGGGAAGAAATGGGATAGTCCTTATTAAACGATGCATATGAGGAGTGGGCCGTTGCCACCTCTTCTTGTAGTTCATTTGTCCAAAGAGAAAGATGGAGTTGATATCATCTTCTCTTCCTCACCTCTCTTTCCTAGAGCCCAGTAATTACTCTTAACAAAAAACCCAAGAGCACCTGCTACAGAAAACAGTCTCAAATGTCATCATCAAGGGGGGTGTTGGACCATCAGCGTTCCGTGGAGTCTTGCTGAGGATCCAACTCAGTTGACATTTTGGAAGAACAACTCAAAAGGAGAAATGATGGATGTGCAGCATGGGAGCTCATTTCTTGAGACACCTACAATTACAGTAGATAAAGATCACTCCATCACCATTCATTCTAAAATTACGGATGTGGGTGACGGCAGGAGTCCGTCAGCAAGAGAGGGAGAGTCACCTCAGTCTGATCCATATGGTGTTAATAATGTCAAATTCATAATGACCCAGATTGTATTATAAAAGGCAGTTTAGAGTGCATAAGGATTGTGGTTTTCAACCCAGTGCGTGTTCTTACATATGTTAGCTGGAAACCAAAGGGATTGTCCAAGCACCATGTGATTTGAAGTGAGTATAAACTGGGTTCTTCTTCTTTTTTTTTTTTGGTGAGACAGACTCTTGCTCTGACACCCTGGGCAGAGTGCCGTGGTGTCAGCCTAGCACACAGCAACCTCAAACTCCTGGGCTCAAGCAATCCTCCTGCCTCAGCCTCCCAAGTAGCTGGGACTACAGGCACATGTCACCACACCTGGCTATTTTTTCTATTTTTAGTAGAGATGGGGTTTCGCTCTTGCTCAGGCTGGTCTCGAACTCCTGACCTCAAGTGAACTCTTGGCCTCCCAGGGTGCTAGGATTATAGGCGTGAGCCACCTCGCCTGGCCTGTAGTCCCATTTTTGTAAACAACCACCACCTGAAACTCTAAAAACCCTAGCCCTCAATGTGACTGCATATGCATGTATTGGGCTGCGTTTGTGGTTGCTTTTGGACATCAGTAGGAGTGGGTCCTACATAATCATGTCCTGCTAACTCTCTCACTGCATTCCTTATCCTCCTTCTCCCACCAGTGTCTTACTTGAATGTGCCCAACATATACCCACCTCAGGGCCTTTCCACTGAACAATTAATTCCCTGTTTCTGGAACTATCTTCTCCTATGGTTTGTTCCCCTTGCTTCCTTTTAGCTTCTGCTCAAAGTTATTGCTATGGTTTGAATGCCTCCCTCAAAAGTTCACGTGTTGGAAACTTGATCCCAGACATGATAGTGTCATGAGGTCGGGCCTAATAAGAGGTGATTGGGTCATGAATGGATTAATGTCGTTACTGCAAGAGTGGGCTGGTTATGGAGAGAGTGGGTGGTTATAAAGCGAGTCTGGCCAGTGCTTCTCTGTCTCGAGTGCTCGCTGCCCTCCCACCATGCTCTGATGCAGCTGAAGGCCCTCACTGAGGCTGGCACTGTGCTCTTGGACTTCTCAGCCTCCAGAACTGTGAGAGACAAATTCCTTTCCTTTATAAATTACCCAGTCTGTGGTATTTTGTTATAGCAGAAGAAAACAGACTAGGGCAGTTATTTATTTATTTATTTTTATCAGACGGGCCTCGTCTAATCACCTATTTAAAAATAACATCCTTGCCCTGTACTCTGTATCTTTTTATCCTGTTTCATTTTTCTTTGTAGAGCTTTTCATCACTTGACATAAATTTATTTACCTTGTCCCCGCCCCCCCCATCCATCCCAGTAGAAAGTAGGCTTCATCAGAGCCGGGATGTTGTCTATCTTTTGGCTCTTTTATCCCCAGTGCTTAGAAAAGTCCAGACCCATAGTAAGTGCTCAATGAATGCAGTGCCACTCTGGTAACTGTTCAGAGTATGTGAAGGGAGAATCTTCATTCAGCAGATATTAGTGTGCTGATGGCCTCCTTGGGACGTGCTGGTGGGATGGAATTGTTCACCTTCTGGTTAACGTCCACCCACTAGTGCTGCCCAGACATACTGCCCCTCCGAGGGCTCAGAGCGGTGCAGGGATGCCCTCTCCAGATCGCACATCCTCCACCAATACTTACCTAAACAGGATATTCCAGTGTGGCTATACAGCCACTGGAACTCTCACACGTTGCTGGTGGGGGTGTAAATTGGTATGATTACTTTGGAAATCTGCGTGATAGTGTCTACTAATATTGTCTACTAAAGCCGAAAGTGCTAGTGTCTACCCCTGTGACCTGGCAATTCCATACCCTACAGAAATGTGTACATATGCCCTGTAAAAGAAATGAATTAGAAATTCACAGAAGCATTATGAGTAATAGCCCCCAGACTGGAAATCACTCAGATGCCCACCAATAGCAGAATGGACAAATAAATCATGGTACAGGTTGAGTTTCCCTTATCCCAAATGCTTGGGACCGGAACTGTTTTGGATTTCAGATTTTTTTGGATTTTGCAATATTTGCATATACATAGTGAGATATCTTGGTGATGAGACCCAAGTCTAAACAGGAACTTCATTTATGTTTCATATACATTTTACACACATAGCCTGAAGATAGTTTTATATACTATTTTGAATAATTTTATGCATGAAACAAAGTTTGTGTTAAGTACTTACGTGTGAAGTTTTTCGTTAACACCTGTGGCATCATGTTAGCGCTCAAAAAGTTTCAGATTTTGGAGCATTTTGGATTTTGGATTTTTGGATGCTCACCCTGTGTGTTCACACCCCTACGGTGCTACACGGCAGTGAAAGTGAACGCCAGAGATATACAGCAAAATCAACAAATCGCACAAATGATGCAGAGAGAGGACACAAAGGAATTCACACAGTATGTACAACTGAAAAATGAGCGAAACTAATCCATGACGTTAGAAGTCAGCATGGGCGTCACCCTCAGGGTGGGGGTGGTTAGAATAGGCCTCTGGGAGCCACTGCCTCAAGTCCTGGTCACATTTTGTTTCTTGAGCTGGGTGCTGGTTATGCAGGTGTGCTCTGTTTGTGAAAATTCATTAAGCTGTAAGTTTATGCTTTGTGTATTTTGCTGTATGTATGTTGTTCTTCACTGGTAAAATTAAAATAAAAAAAGGATGATAAATCTCTTAAGAAAAATTACGACGACTGACTTGACCAGGAGCCTCTGGGTCTTGCTAGGGACTAAAGCTCTACTGAGAATCTGATTTACCCATGAATGTCAATTTGTCTGAACCAATGAGTTGCTTATGGTTTTTGGCGAGGGGGAGGAGGTTGTTTTCCAATTAGGTGTTCTGTAGGC